TCCAAAACTAGTGTGAAAATGCAAAGCACAGTAGTCAGAGCAAATTTTAGTAAAGAACAAAGTTGAAGGATTTATATTATCTGATTTTAAGATTTATCATAAAGCAGCGGTAATGAGAACAGTATGGTTTTAACATAAGGATAGGCACAGAAGAGGCAGGCAGATCTCTGTGAATTTAAGGCCAGCCTGGTCTGCATAATGAGTTCCAGGCCAGCAGGGGCTACAGAAAGACCCTGTCTCAAAAAACAAAACAAAAACCCACTCATACACATAATTTTGAGCTGGGCATGGTGGCGCATGCCTTTAATCCCAGCACTGGGAGGCAGAGGCAGGTGCATTTCTATGAGTTAGAGGCCAGCCTGGTTTACATAGTGAGTTCCAGGCCAGTTGAGGCTACAGGGAGACCCTATCTCAAAAAGATGAAAAAAAAATTTTTTTTTTAAGGCACAGATACCATGAGAAAGCAGCTGCACACATGGCACCAACAGATCTTCAGAAAAGGTGTTAAAGTCATTCAGTGGCTAAAGGATAGTTTCTAACAAACTATGCTCTATCAAATGGATATTTACTTGGAAAAGTAATGGAACTTGACTGTTCCTGTAACATTGTATACGAAAGTTACTTTGAAATTGGTCATAGATCTAAAATATAAAACTTCTAGTAGAAAACATTTGAGAATACCCTTATGACCTTGAGGTAAGTAAGGATTTTCTTTAAAGATTATTTTTAAGTTTTTGTCTATATCTGTGTGTATCTATGTGGGATATGTGCATGTAAGCTCAGGTGCCCATGGAGACCAGGAGAAGGCATCAGATTCCCTGGAGTTACAGGCAGTTGTGAGTCTGCTGAGGTGGGTGTTGGAAACTTAGGTCCTTTGGAGGAGCAGCATGCACTCTTAACCCTGAACTTTCTTTCCAGCCTCAGGAAGTTTTAGAATATCAAAGAGCACCAAGCATAAGTGAAAAGAATTTTGGAATGAGAAACATTTCTGTTCCCAAAGACATTAAAAAAAAAAACAGACAAGCAGCAGGCTAGGAAAAGATATCTGCAATACATGGAAAAGGATGTACCCAAAATATCTGAATAATTCTCCAGTAAAGAAGTGTATAACTAAGCCAGTAAGTACTAGGTTGGTGCAAAAGGATTTGTGGTTTCAGACTGTGAATTTTAAATTATTATAACTAAGCTCAAATATATCTTTATTAATCAAAATAGGAAATAGGAACTACTACAATCAATATATTTTGCCGTACAGAAAACTGTTTATTCCTATAGTGTAAAAGTCTTTGATTTGGAATTCACGAATTTTGGAAAGCATTTTGTGTATGCTGCTGGTTGTGTTGAAATTGTTGAGATGCTTTTAGAAGTGGTGGTTGGTGAGAAATGAGGTGAATGTGGTGGATCATCACAGCCCAATTCATTCAACTTTTGAAGCATTGGTTGTGGGACCTTGCAATCAGGCGTTGTCCTGGAGAGGAATTGGGCCCTTTCTATTGACCAATGGCAACTGCAGAGATTGCAGTTTTTGGCATATCTTATTGATTTGCCAAGCATACTTTTTAGTGCAAGTTTGGTTTTGGGAAGTGCTTTGGAATTTCTGGCCCAACCACTGAGCTGGTCATGGCCAGTTGTCATACACAGTTCACTTTTCATTATCAGTCATAATCCAGTTTGGAAATGGGTTGTTGTTGCATAGCATAAGGGAGGACATCAGTTGAAAATAGTGATACTTTGTATTTTTGGTCAGGTCATGAAGCACACACTAAGCTTTTGCCCTTTTCTGAATGGTCCACATTGAGTTCTTTGGCAGCTTCTCCTGTAGTTGTAAGAGGATCAGCTTGGATAACTGCTCTCAGTTGGCATTGGCAGCTTCTGATGGACTGCCCTACACTTCTCATCTTCAAGGTTCTTGGCTTTTTGGCAAAACTTCTGGAGCCACCACTGTACTGTACGTTCCTTGGCAGTTCCTAGACCAAATGTGATATTGTGCAAGTTTTCTGTACTGCTTTGTTACCCGTTTTGAACTCAAATAAGAAAATCACTCAAACTTGCCTTTTGTCTGACATTTCCATAGTATAAAATAAACAGCAAGTAATACCCTTGGCAGAAAACCATAAAGTGAGATCATTGTGCATTAAAAAATGATATATAACACACCCACATTTATTAAGAATGTATTAAATGGCTTTTTTTTTTTTTTTTTTTTTTTTGAGACAGGGTCTCCCTGTAGCACCAACTAGCCTGGAACTCACCATGTAGACTAGGCTGGCTTCAATCTCACAGAGATCCTCCTGTACCTGCCTCCCAAGTGCTGGGGCTAAAAAGGCCTGCACCACCATGTCTGGCTATTAAATGACAAGTTTTAACAAAGCAAAAATAGAAATTACTTTTATACTAACCTAATATATTAGTAATCAGGAAAATTAAAATTTATGTCATAATCTAGAGTCTATATATCCACTTAAAGTTAAGCCTACCAAATAGCCTACCAATTTAGTCTCTAGCTATTTCTCTGATACAAGTGAGATTAGGTACTATTTTTTTTTTTTCTATTCTTTTCCTTTCTTTTTTCTTTTGTCTTTTTTGAGACAGGGTCTCCCTGTAGTCCCAACTGGCCTGAAACTTGCTTTGTAGACCAGGCTGGCCTCAAACTCACAGAGATCCGCCTACCTCTGCCTCCTGAGTGCTGGAATTAAAGGCATGTCCCACCGCGCTGTTTTATTTTTTTGATTAAATAAGTTTTTGTTGGTCAGTGGCATACAGAAATTATGAATTAAATTTTAAGTTCTTTTTGCCTTTGTTCCATCAACATTTGTTTTGAGTAGGAAATTATCAACATTAAATTTGAAATGGAATTTATTTTATGAAATTTTAGAATGTGTGTGGTACTTCTTTAGTGATTGATTCTTTGGAAACTTGGTAATAGATATTATCAGAAAGATCCTAGTTTTATTAATCTAAGATTTTGAAACATTGTGAAAATAAAATGGGACTTTTATAATTTTCTTTATTTCCTTGAAAGGTGTGATACCTTTGTTTCTTGTTTTTTGTTTTCTTTTGAAAAACTAGGTTAATAATAGATTTACTGTATTATGGTTCTTTTTATAGAACTCTCAAATAAATCATTTTGATACTTTTCTTCACTTCTAATTTATTTCCGCCTTTAGTTTTCTAATTCTTATACTTTTTTTGTGACAAGGTTTCACTATGTAGACCAGGCTGGCATGGACTCACAGAGATCCACCTGCCTCTTCTTCCTGAGTGCTGAGATTAAAGGCGTGCACCACCATTCTTTGCCTAATTTTTCTACTTTGTTGTTCATCTTTATTTATTTTTCTCTTTTTCTTAGTAGTAGTGTTTGTTCCTATTAAAGAGTACAAATTTTTAAAGTTAACCAGTTTTTCTCTGAGAACCTTTTGAGATTCCCATAATTTAAAAATGTTATATATTTTACAATGCCATATTTTTCTGTTTCTTTGACCCAGGAGTAGTTTTAGGCTTTCCCAGTTTTCTTTTCAATTGAAATCTTGAGTTGTCTAGCTAAACAACCATAGTGATGACTGTAATTTCGTTTTAACTCTTCTCCTCCTTGGGTTTCTAGCTCTGGCACAATCTGTCCTGTGTAATCACCAGAATGGTTCAGAACAGGGAGCTCAGTCAGGCCTTTTTCCTTCTAAGATAGTCAGTCTCTTCAGTCAGTATGCAACTGTAGGGCAGAGAAATGACTCGGTAACTTACGAGCATAAACTCCTGTACAGTATCAGTAAAGCAAAAGAGTACTGTCAGAGATTTAAAATGCGTTTGAGATATTCTGAATAAAATGCGAAAAAAATTTTTTTAGATGCTTTCAAAAAATTACACGAGAGATGACTGCATGAGTGATTAAGTGGCTGATAAAGTTTTCATCTTAGTAAAGAGCTGAGGATCAAGAAAAATAAATGAAAATTACCTGTGTAACAACTCAAAACTAACATTCTAGATGATACTGTCATGAATTGGATTGGGAGAAGACCACGTAGGTTTTTTCAGTGTGTTGGAGGATTGTCTTATTAAGGGAAAGATAGACTTACTTACTGATAAATTGAGGAAATAATTAGGAACATATGAACAGAAAATAGCATGTAACTTAAGAACAACCATCAAAAAATGGTATATAGCTTTCAGCCATTAAGGGGAAAAATTTAGTTTTAGGCATTTCCCCGCCACGAGGAAAAAAAAAAAAGAAAGAAAGAAGGAAGGTGGCCTGCCTTCTTGTGTGTTCCGTGTCTGTTTTTATTATCTGTTGTGTTCGCTTTGTTCAGGTAATTCCTCTTTTCTTCCTTGCTTTTCTCTCCAAAACATTTTTTTAGGATATTAAGAATAGATGATACATTATTTTGATTTTTTTTTTCTATGTACATTCTACTTTATGGCCTCCATTTTCTGTATGCTTTACCTGGTTTTTGATTATTAAAGATTATTATAACTTCTATTCCATTATTATGTATCCATATGAATTATTATATATAAATATACTACATATATAAAAATAGGCATATATGTATCTATCATAGGTATATTATATCATACACATATATGCATATATACTCCCTCCTTTCTGTGACTTTGAACCAGAAGGACATAGCTTGTTTCATGATTTAGCTTATTTTGAACAGCTCTCCTCTTTTCTTGAACCAACCCCACCTTTTTTATTTTTCATATTTAATTATATAGTTGTATTCTGACCAAGGCAGAAAACTAAGGAGAATAGAACTATTCATTTTCATTTATTTTTCTATTAGTTCCCAATATAGTATCTTTTGTAAACTATATCAAACTGTTTCTACAACCTAGTTTCATAGAAGTGAAGAATAACATTCTTTTTTGATACTTACATTCTTTAACTTATTACACACACACACACACACACACACACACACACACAAAAACAAACAAACCTAAAATAGGCCTTATATGAAGGGATGTTTTTAACAATAGCTGTCTTTTCCTCCTAAATATAGGAAGTTCACAGATGGGTGCCACCATAGTGGATGCTTTGGATACCCTTTATATCATGGGACTTCATGATGAATTCATAGATGGGCAAAGATGGATTGAAAACAACCTTGATTTCAGTGTGGTGCGTATACTATTGATAATTCATCTAATCTCTTAAATTGACTATGAAAGGACTGATTCGAAACTTGTATCCTCCCAAAATTCATGTTGAAACCTCTCACTAACCTGGTATTAGGAAAGGTCCTTGGGAGGTGAGTAGGTCATCAGGACAGAGCCTTCATGAGTATAATTAATGCCCTTATAAAATAGTTTCCAGAGAACTGGTTTGCCCCTTCCTCCATGCGAAGTCACAGAAATGCCCTCTGTGAACCAGTTGAGTAGGCCCTCACTCGACTGGTACACTGATCTTGGACTTCCCAGTTTCCAGAAGTGTGATAAATAAATTTCCATTATTTATGAACTACATGGTTTACGCTATTTTCTTATAGTAGTTCTAATGGTCTAAGATGCTTATTATGTCATTTTCAGCATGGTATTAGCAGCTTATTGAAATCCTCATACTAAATCTCCTCTTTTGGGATTATCGTTTGTTACATAATTTTTGTATAAAATACTTTTTCTCAAACTCTTATTTCTTGCTTTTATCATTTGAGGCAGTATCTTAGCATTATAGGGTAATAATTAAAGGGCAAAGCAATGAACCAAAGACATCAGGAGACTAATAAACTACTTTATAAGTACTTAGTTTATACTCCTCCTCCTCCTACTGCTAATAGAGAACACATGATTGGAGTAAGTGGCGTGGTGGAGTCTTGCTGTTTTATATTGGCTATCGGAGAACTCTTTATCACGGTGACATTTTGAGACAATACCCAAGGGAAGCCATACACACATGGCTGTAAAGCTATGTTAATAGATACTATAGCCGAGAATAGAATTGGAGGTTTGAGATGATTTTCTTTTGCCTTTAAAAGCAGCTTTCCAGTCTTTCTGCTTATTTCATTATATCAAAAGTATTTGTCAGTCTAGTTGTTAAAAGGTACTCTATCTTACCCCTTGTTTTTTTCCCTGTTATTGTTATGTGTGAATTATACTTCAAAGACTCAAAATGAGGATTTATGTTTTCATCAGCTTTACAAGATTCTGTCATTACTTTTTCAGTATATCTCTTCTCTGGTTCTTCTGTCTAGAACTTTATCTCTTTCTCTAATGAGGGCAGATAAGAATTTTATAAATAATTGTATCGTAAAATGATGTGTTACTTGAAAATGTAATATAGGGTAAAGGATATTATTGATGGATGATTACACGATTGCTATTTTATAGAGTGGCCAGGCCAAAAAAATTTTTTTTGAAATAATCGATTTGTTTTTATTTTAAATGTATGAGTGTCTTGCCTGCATGTATGTAATTGTACCCATGTATGCAGAGTGCCTGTAGAAGCCAGAAGAGGGCGTTGGATCCTCTGGAATTGGAGTTGGGGTGGTTGTTAGCTGTCAAGTTGGGTACTGGGAACCAAACTGGGGTCCTCTGCAAGAGCTGCCAGTGCTCTTAATGGCTGGCCATCTCTTCAGCCCCAGGCAAAAATTTTGGTAAGGTGATACTTGTTCAGAGACCTGTAAGAAGTGATAGATGGGTTCACTTAGCTAGATGAGGGGAAAACTGCCAGGTACAAGAGTTTAAGTGTGAAGACTGACATGCAAGCCACCAGTTTGCCAGTTTGGGGAATAGGTTGACATGATAAAGTAAATCAGAGAAGTCTTAAGTGGTGAAATGTCAGAAGAGTTGTGGGGGGGTGTCTGGCTATGACTTTAAATACTCATATTAGAAGTGGACACACAGACACATGCACACACACAAAAATTAAAAAGTATTTAACAGTTACATCATATTGTGAAAGTTTTATATTGGGAAAAATATTTACCTTAGCAACCGGTGGTGTTCTGCCTACGGATGTTGGGAAGACTTCAGAGTAAACTGTTTTCCCCTTAATTTTTTGTTAAAAATTAATTATACATTTTCATTAATTTTTGCATTAAACCAGTTTTATTGTCCTGTAGGATCCATCTCCTCACTCGAGGAGATTTTGAAGTGTTTGAGGGAGGAAAAACTTGTAAAAATGGTGATAATCAGGTAATAGGCTTGGGATTCCTGGAATGGAGCCACAGTATGAGATTGATCAGCCTGGAAAGCTGAGGCCATAAAGGCTGGTGCGTGCATACGTGTGTGCGTGCGTGGGTATGTGTGTGTGTGTGTCTCTCTGTGTGTGTGTGCGCGTGTTTCTTCTTTGCATCACGGTTCAGTTCTCTCTGCTCTAGGCTGGTGCGTGCATACGTGTGTGCGTGCGTGGGTATGTGTGTGTGTGTGTTTCTTCTTTGCATCACGGTTCAGTTCTCTCTGCTCCTGGGTTACCCAAGCCTCCGTCGACAGCCACTCTACTCCTTTGCTGGTACCTCTGCCACCTTCTGTAGTTTGCTGTTGTGGTTGTCTCTAGGCATGCTGCTACCCCTACTGTACTTGTTGCCTCAAGGCACGGGGCCAGCTCACTAATGTGGGGTGTAATGCCCCCTTCCCTATCTCACCCTAAGACCCTTCTTGGATCACCTCATGTCCCGTGGGCATCTGCTTAGTAAGCATGTTTAGATAACTTTCTGGTCATTAGGGGTGGCTCCTCTGGTTGCGCAGATCTCCATGTGGCCCAGTCTTTGAGGTGTCTCTCCACCTTCAGTAACCAGTTCTTTCACTCCATATTCACTGTCGTCTCTTGTACATCCCTGCTGTTCCTCTTTCCCCTTTTAGCTCTTTTTCAGTCCATCTAGTTTAAATCTTTTACTTGTGTCTCCTTGAGTAGACTTATCAGTCCTACCCACTTCTGACTATGGCGTCTTGGGTTTCTGGCTCTATATGGCATTCCAGTGCTTCCCTTAACGTGTGAACGAGAGCAGCAGTGAACTGGAGGAAGTGGATGGATGGATGGATGGATGGATGGATGGATGGATGGATGGATGGATGGATGGATGGATGTGACAGACAACCGGGAGCTAACTGTTGAGGCAGAGCAGCCTTCAGCCTTGACCCTGGAGGGCATGTTGCTGGTAGTGAGTGGAGGCTTCTACAATAAGTGGCTGCTGCCTTGTAGCAGTTCTATGGACTCCAGCTACCTGGCTGGCTGCTTTTTGTGATGCACATCACAGGAGCCCTGGAAATTCATGGTGCTGAATCTCCCCAGACATTAGAGGGGAGACTGTCTGCCACTACGTAACAATACTTGACCCTTTTGGGGAGATAGCAGGAGTCACAGAGATCTAAACAAGAGTCACAGGAAGAGAACTGGGCAAGTAGGGAACTGAGGGTCTCCATGTTGGTGCTTGGCTCTAGTCTTGAGGCATCCCAACCATTACTTATACCTGTTCCCCTTCACCTGTTTTCTGGGTAAAGTAGGCCACAGTGAGCAGCACAGCAGTCTCTCTGGTCTGAAGGAAATAGATCATGAGCAACATCAAGATGTAGCTCTATAAAAGAAATCTACTCCCTGACAGTTTTCAGCCGGGAGTGCAGTAGTAGAGAGTAGACACAAGGGTCCTGATTTGCTCCTCCAGCTCAGAACAGACTAAGAAAACTGGTTTATGCAAGGCAAGCTAGGTACTGAGGGTGATGCCACCATGCAGACCCAAAAGCTGATAGTAGAACTTGACTACAGAGCTCCAGGTGGAGAGCAGTGTATTTTGTGCACCTCAAGGACCCAGCCCCAGAGAACAGATCTCAGTAGTTCTGCTCCTCTGACTTCTCCCCTTGGGGTCTCTGCTAATTCTAGGCCCTTCTTGCCCTTCCTCCCCTCTTACTTTAGTGGTGAGCCTGGAGGTAGGACTAGGGTGAGGCAACAGCTCAAAGACCAAAGCTGAGTCCAGAGTCTGAGGTATCAGGGAGGAAGGTTTTTGGTCTTGTTTTGGTCCAGTATTTCCTCACTATATACTCCTCCCTTTTGGAATGGGAATTTGTATTCGGTTCCACTGTATGTTGGGAGTATGTAATTTGTCTTTTGATTATGCAGAGGCTTACAGTTAAGAGATTGCCTTGAGTCTCAGAAGAGACTTTGGATTATGTGACTTTTGAATAGTATTGAGACTGGTAAAGACTATGGGGACTTTTAAGGATATAGGGCCTGGAAGGTTTTGAAGTCCAGTCCTTCAGAATATTGGAGGTTATGAATTAGAGGAAAGCTGTGTAGGCCAGGGCTTCAGGATATGGTGGGGAAGAAAGGACTGAGTCCAAGTGTATTAGCTACTTTTCTGTTGTTGTGATAAAATAATGTGACCAAGAGAATTTATAAAAGGAAGAGTTTATTTAGCTTACAGTTCCAAAGGGGCAAAAGTCCATCATGGCAGGGAGGCATGGTGGCAGAGGTGGCTGGAGTAGGTCCTGAAGCTGAGTGTTCACATTGCCAAGCAGGCTCAGGAAGCAGAGAATAACTGAAAATTCAGCAAGGCTTAAGACCCCCTCTAAACCTTTCCCCTACTGAGGTTCTTCCTGCAGCATGGCCCCACCTTCTATGTCCTCCCAAAACAGCACCACCAACTGGGTTCAAAATGTTCAAATACTTGGAGCCTGTAGGGGACATTCTCATTCAAACCACCATACCAAGGATGGAAACTGGGGCTTATGGGGCTGGCTAGTCTTTTCTACATATCCAGATCCAAGAAGAGGTTAAGTTCACAACCATGGGCATTAAAGCTGTTGATGGAGGAGCCAACAGGATGGAACATATGACCAGAGAACTCTGCATAGACCTCCCACATCAGGGCTATGATAAGGCTGCAAAGCTGCCACTTAACCTTGCATAAATCCTTTAGCCCATAAACTTTACCATTTGTGCCTCCACTTCCAGGTGCTATGCTGGGACTCTGATAGACAACTGTACCTACATCTCCCATTTCTATACTGGCAGACACCTTCTTGTCCTTGCCCACACCAGCCGCAGGGCCAGACATTTCAAAAAACTCGGAGTTAAGCAGAATCCATGTCCCTAGAAAAGCCACTGATAAACACTTTGAAGTCTTAGGCCTTTTCTGGCAGCTTGGAGTTCTACGAGATTACTGTGCTAACAGCCTCTCAAGTGGGCTTTTAGGCTCAGTTCTTTCCAATCTAAATGCCTCTTTCTTAATGAGACCTTCTGCTCCTGTCATTTGTGCTGTGCTATTCACTTGTCCTCCTTCACCTCTGGGAGGTCTTCAGTAGGGGTTTTCTAACTAAATTTCTGCCTTCTTTGTGATGCCACAGCTCTCCAGACATCCATGGCTCACTGCAAGTGTCTTAGTCTAGATGGTGAAGTCATCTGTACCTCTTTTCCTGACCCGAAAGACCTGCAAAGTACCAGGTACAGGGCAGATGTTCAATTAAAGAGGAAACAAAATATTCAACTTTTGCTTTGAAGATTTCATATATGGTGAAGGGAGAGTATTAAGGTGGTAAGACTTTCTCCACTCTTCTGTACCCTCAGACGTTTTGAGTAAAAATGAAGGTGGTTGACCCTCAGGTCACCTAACAGGAACTATGATCTGTAACTCTAACTCTCAGAACCCAAGGACAAAAGCCCACAATCTCCACCCTCCCTCACTAGCTGCACTTAGATCAACTGTAGTAATGTGGCAGAGGCAGTAACTTTTAAATAATTTTCTTTACTGGTATTTATCCCACGGCAGCAATTTGACGTTTAGGCACTCTCCATACTGACTAACAGCAGCCACTTCTGCCCCTACCAGTACTGACTTCTCTAAATGTTAGTTTTAGATTAGTCACTTGTATGTAAGTAATGCTTTGTGCTACTTACATATGTATTAGGGTTTTTTTTTTGTATTTTTTCCATGTATTAGAAAGCTTTTTTCCTTTTCTATATGTGTATATGTATGTGGTGTGCATGTACATGTAAGAAGATGTGCATGTAGGGGCCAGAGGTTGATGGTGGATAAAGTCTTCCTTGATTACTCTCACTATATATGTTGAGGCAGGGTATCTCGCTTGAACCCAGAGCTCACCTATTTGGCTCTGGGAATTTCTTCTTTCCTGTCTTTAGCTCCCCTACACTGGGATTACCCGGGAGACTGCCACACCTGGTTGACATTTACATGAGTGCTGGGGGTCTGAACTCCAGTCTACATATGTATTAGGGTGTTACCTGCTGAACCATCTCCTCAGCCCTCCAATTTTTCTAGTATCTAAACCTAAATATAAACATACCATGTTTATATTTGTAAAATGCATACACACGTTTATATGTTACATACTTGTGATAAATTTCCTTATATTTGTTTGATGGTATTTTTGTAGATACTTTACATTTTAGGGAAATTTAAAATATATCATCAATTTGTTACCAAAACTTTTGGTTTTATTCCTACACATTGTACTTTCTTA